TTCTTTTCTCTTGGCCCAGGGCATCACGCTGTTTCTGGTTCCGGCGGCCGCTAACGGCGTGGCCGTGGAGCGGATCAACACCATCGGCGACGAACGCCTCTGCGAGGTACGCCTGGACAACGTGGCGGTCGAACGACGGCGACGCCGTGCTGGGAACGGTGGGCGTTGGCTGGCCGATTATCCAGCGGGCGCTGGCCCGGGCGACGGCGGCGCACTGCGTGCAGATGGTGGGCGGCGCGGATGCCGTGCTGGAAATGACGGTTGAATACGTGAAGCAGCGCACCCAGTTCGGGCGTCCGGTGGGGAGTTTCCAGGCGGTGCAGCATCATTGCGCCAACATGGCCACCGACGTGGAAGGCGCGCGCCAAATCGCGTATCAGGCCGCGTGGGCCATCTCGGAGGGCCAGCCGGCCCGACGGGAGGTTGCGATGGCCAAAGCCTGGTGCAGCTCTGCCTATCAGCGGGTGTGCTCGCTGGGGCATCAGTGCCACGGGGCTCTCGGATTCACGATGGAACATAACCTGCAACTGTATACCCGACGCGCCAAGGTGCAGGAGTTGTCTTACGGCAACAGTCACGACCACAAAGAGGTTGCGTTGCAGAGAGCGCGAGGGGAGGTAGATGGTGGAGACGTGAACCCCTAAAGCACTGGCGAGGGAGCGTTATCACGAGGGCGTGGAGGGCGGTGAGTGCGATGCGCTCATCCTGAGCTTGTCGAAGGATGCGGAACAAGATGCACGCTGCCGCTCGCATGACAGTTGCTTACAACAACACAACTTACACTCGAAATGACCGCGGACAACACCAAGGAGATACAGATGACGATGACACCTGCCCGCAGCTCGCCATTCATGGCAATGTCCCGCGACCCGCTGCATCCTGACGTGATCTATCGGGACCAGCGGTGCTTCGTGGTGCGCGACATTGCTCCCAAAGCGCCGGTGCATCTGCTGATCATTCCCAATATGCCGATCAACGGGCTGGCGTACCTTGGCCCGGGGCAGGTTCCGATTATGGGGCATCTGTCGAGTGACACAAGACGGAGAATCGCGACATAGCTGACAGAGGGCGTGAGCGGCGCGGGAGAGGAAAGATAAGAGTGTAGATCTATTTTACCATGCGCGTTTTATCGAGGACTGCGGTTGAGGGTCACAACAGCGAATTTCCTGATGCATCGAGCAGACGAGCGCCTAGGAAACACGTTACACCTGCTGGCCGTAGCAGCGTGAGCCTGGGAGACATGGGTTATGAGCGGCACGCGTCGATATCGGTTCCCGGCGTAGTGGTGGACCGCATCCGCCGCCGGATGAACCGTGTGCCTCCCGGGTTGTGCGATCACTGTAAGCGGGTTGAGCAGATTGCCCGCGAGTTGGCCGAACGCCACGGGGAAGACGCCGACGCGGCCGGCCTGGCCGGTCTGGCTCACGATGCCGCCAAGCATTTCAGCGCCACCGAGCTGCTGCTGAGAGTCGAGGAATACGACCTGCCCGCGAACGATTTTGAGCTGCGCCGGGCTCCGATTTTGCACGGGCCCATCGGCGCCGAAATGCTGCGTCGCGAGGATCGGTTGAATGAGCCGTCATTGTACGATGCGGTGTACTGGCACACGACGGGCAATCCTTCGGGCGGCGACGGCTGCAGCGCGAAGAGCATGTAGTTTTGGCGGACCGAAGACTGGACCCGATCACGGTGCGGAACGACTATCCCATGGCCGCAGGAGTTGCGGGAGCTGGCAGACCAGGATCTGAAAGCAGCCAGCGCCATGTTCCTGACCCGGAATATCGGGAGACTGCTGGATGCGGGCGCGCCAGTGCATCCGGCTGCGATTGATGCGCGAAATGCGTTATTATGGGAGGAGTAAGGGGTTCCGCCCTCACCCCACAACCCTTCTCCCGGAGGGCGAGGGGTCATTCGACACGCTCAGGATGAGCGGGGACGGCAAGGGATATGGATATGGCAACTCAATTAGAAATTACCCCTCAAGCTGCGCGGTTCATCCGGGCCAGGGGAGGCCGGGCCGTCCTTGACGTGTTGTGCTGGCGAAGTTGAGCCGGCGAGTCGGTGGAGGTATCGGTCGATACCAATGTGAGGCGGCGGCGCAACCTGGATGCTTACGACAGCGCCGGATATGAGGAAATCGAATTGCTGCTGGCCCCGGGCCTGGCAGAGATCGCCGATAGGGTTGATCTTTCGATGAGCCGGTTTTTGTGGTTCCACAACCTGAAAGCGATGATAACGCTGCCCGATGGGATGACGCTGGGACGCAGGGCGTCGGTGGCCTAGTCGCTGGACGGTAGCAGGGCCGCGACCGGGCAACTGAATCCCGGCAGGGCCTCGGCGCCGTACACGGTGTCGGCGTCGGCGAGGGTTTGCGGCGCGGCATCCCCGCTGTGGATGGCCACGGTGCGCGCGTCAATATCAACGATCCACACGGCTTTGCCGCCGGCGGCCAGGTATTCGGCGGTTTTTTGCGCTATCTCTGATCCGGTATTGCTTGCCGACAGCACCTCGACAGCTAAATCCGGGGCACCATCGTAAAGCATACCGAACAGGTCGGTTCCAAGGCGCTCGTTGGAGACAAATGACACATCGGGCATCCGGCTGGTCGCGGGAGAATCAGAGCCGGTAACGTAGCCACGGTTGCTGCCATACACCCGGCCCAGGTCGTTGGGGAACACATGGTTGGACAATCTCCAGCTCACCAACGATACCGTGAGTTCGTGTTGTTCCGACGCCGTCATCTGCTCTATCAAAACTCCCTTGACCAGTTCATAACGGGGGTGCTGCGGCAGGGCAGCGTACTCCTGCAGGGTAACCGGCGGAGCGGCGGTAGGGTTACGGGTGGTCATGGTAAACCTCCGGCCAAGGAATATTCGGGTCGGGGGCGGGGATTTAGCGGGCGTAGCGGAATCCACCTCCGGCGGTACGGGCGCAGTTGAGGCGGCGGTTCAGGTGCAGTCCTTCCAGCACGAACTCGACGGCTGATGCGACTACCTCGGGCCGCTGGTCGCCCTGGGTGAGGCTCTCCACGGCGGCGGGCAGTCCTTCGATACGGCTCAGGGAATCCACGTAGGCGGCGGCGGGAACGTCGCTCCCGGTTTCAACGGCGTTGCCGAGATCGAACGCCGTTACGATGTCGTCCAGCTCGTCCACGTTGCAGTAGCGGCCAAAGATGGCCAGCGTGGCACGCTTGGTAAGGTCGTCGACGAGACGATCTTCGCGGCCCTCGCCGAAGGTTTCCAGCTCGATCTTGCCGCCCAGGGATGCGATTAGGAAGGGCAAATCGCTGATGCGCGGGCAGGCGATGGCGTCGCCCAGCCGGATGCTGCGGCGCACTGCATTGCTGATGAGGGTTTCGTAGTCTGAGATCGACACGCGCACGCTGACGCCGGAACGCTGGTTGATTTCGTTGCTGGCGCGGGCGCGGGCCGTGACCTCGGCCACGATTTCAGTCATATAAGTCGGGATCGCCACCTTGTCTTCATCGGGGAAGCGATTGCGCTCCTGCTCCATGATGGCGATTTCTTCTTGGATGGTGCGGGGGTAGTGGGTGTGAATCTGCGCGCCGTAACGGTCTTTGAGGGGAGTGACGATGCGACCGCGATTGGTGTAGTCCTCGGGGTTGGCGGTGGCAAGGACGAACACATCCAAAGGCAAACGGATGCGGTAGCCCTTGATCTGCACGTCGCGTTCTTCCATCAGGTTGAACAGGCCGACCTGGATACGCTCGGCGAGGTCGGGCAGCTCGTTGATGCAAAAGATACCGCGGTTGGTGCGGGGCACCAGGCCGTAGTGGATGGCGGTTTCGTCGGCGAGGTGGCGACCCTCGGCGACCTTGATGGGATCGATTTCACCGATGAGGTCGGCGATGGAGATGTCGGGGGTGGCCAACTTTTCGGAGTAGCGCTGCTCCCGGTCGATCCATTCGATGGGGGCGTCATCGCCCTGCTCGGCTACGATGCGCCTGGAGTCGGGGCTGATGGGATTGTAGGGGTCATCGTTGAGTTCGGAACCGGCGACGACAGGGAGTTTTTCGTCGAGGAGGCCAACCATGGCTCGGATGAGGCGGGTTTTGGCCTGGCCGCGTTCGCCCAGCAGAATGATGTCCTGACCGGCGAGGATGGCGTTTTCCAGCTGCGGGATGACGGTTTGGTCGAAGCCAATGATGCCTGGGAAGGCGGGTTCTTCGGCGCGCATTTTGGCGATGAGGTTGCGACGCACTTCTTCGCGCACCGAGACGGATTCGTAACCGCTGGCTTTGAGTTCGCCGAGGGTCGAGGGCAGGCTGGTGGTGGACATCTGGCACTTCCTTTCTGGGGTTGGTCACGCGGATCGGGATCGGCTGGGACTTCCGCAGTATAACAAAGTGTCTCACGCGTACCCACTTTAATCTGTCATTGGGAGGAGCATGGCACGGCGTCCTTCGACAGGCTCAGGATGATCCTTCGACGGGCTCAGGATGAGCGGGGGGTCACCCTCTCCCCAACCCTCTCCCATCAAGGGAGAGGGTTCCTTCGACAGGCTCAGGATGATGCTTCGACAGGCAGAGGATGAGCGGGGGGTCACCCTCTCCCCAACCCTCTCCCATCAAGGGAGAGGGGGCAGGGCGGTCCGGCGCTGCGGAGCCGCCCTGGTGTGGGCTGTATTCGTTTGCGTAGTATTCGTTTGTGTAGTGGTTGCGGTGTTAGCTGGCTTCGTTGATGGTGGCGGGTATCAGGACCGCTGGGCTGCCGTCGCTGTCGTTGTCGCCGTCGCGATCGTGTCCACGTCCGCCGTGGCGCCGTCCGCCGTCGCGATCATGGCCCATCCCGTGTTCGGGCAGGAAGTCGGGGCGCTCGCCATGCCACGCGCTGATGGCGTCGGCCTGATCCTGCGTCAACATCTCTTTTTCCACGGCGCGGTCGAGCATTTCGGTGAGCCGGTCGACGTCGGCGGTGCCCACAGCGATGTAGGCGAAGAAACCGGCGTCGGCGGGGCGGTCGGCAAACCAGTCGACTGCGATATCGCGCTGGTCGGCGGTGATTTCTTCAGACTCAACCAGGGCGTCCATCCTCTCGGCGAACTGTTCATCGGCGAGTTCGTGATAGGCGGTGGCGAAGGCGTCGGTCAACTCTTCCTGTTCGATGCCGAGAATTTCGGCGACCCGTTCGGTAATCCGGCCCTGTATGGCGTGGTGGCCCCCAGCGGCGGGATAGATTTTCGTGGCGGGAATGCCGGCGCCGTCGCCGTCGAAGTGACCGCGGGATGGAGCTGCGGCAAAGATGCTGCCGGCGGTAAGGCCGACGACCAGCAGGGCGACGGTGGCGGAAACGACATACCAGCGTTTGCGGACGGTGCGAACTCTATTGAACATTTGGTCCTCCTGTTTACCGCCTCATGTAACGGGTGGCGGTTGCTTTGAGACCACAATACGCGGGCAGTGTAAAGGAAATATAAAGACTGCGGAGAATACGGGGCGGCAATGATTGTGCTACCATTTCGAGCAGGGGAGTGAGCGTACGTATGTTCAGGTTTCTTTGGCCTATCCTGCTGATGTTCGGGCCACGGTTGGGTCCGCGCATCGTGAAATACGCGCGTGCGCTGTACCGCCTGCACTTTGACTCGCGGGTCAACGTGTTCATCAAGTTCCTGATTCCGCTGGCGGTGGGGTACGCAATCTTCTGGAAGGATTTTATCCCCGACTGGATCCCCTACGGGTTGGGACGGTACGACGACTTAGTCATACTTGGGTTGGCCATCTGGCTGTTCTGGAACCTGTGCCCGCGGGAAGTGGTGCGGGAGCACCTGGGCGATCCGCCGGGCCCGCGGCCCGAGGACCGGGACCCCGACAGCGTGGTGGATGGACAGGCTCGCCCGCCCGGTAGCTCCGAGGACGCGGACTGATGGCGCCGGCCGCCGGACCGACCGGGTTTCGTCGGGGACGTGGCACGAGTTGACCCGTGGCCGCTGAAAGCAAACGCCCGCCGGAAATGCCGCCGTCAATGAACCGCGCCGGTGAGGGCATTTCCCTGTATGTGCACGTCCCCTTTTGTCTGAGCAAGTGTCCGTACTGCGATTTCAACACCTACCAGGGGATTGAGTCGCAGTTCGGCGACTACCTGAGCGCCGTAGTGTCGGAGATGACGGCCTGGTCGCACGCGCTGGGCCGTCCTGCCGTCAACACGGTTTTCCTGGGAGGCGGCACTCCGTCCTACCTGCCCGACGGCGACGTGGGGCGCATCCTGGAGGCCATCGCCGCTAACTATGAGGTGCGCGGCGACGCCGAGATTACCGCCGAATGCAATCCCAACGACCTGACCGCCGAACGGTGCGCCGATTTGAAAGCGGCGGGGATCAATCGCATCAGCATGGGCGTGCAGAGCATGGACAACGGATTGCTGGCGATGCTGGGCCGGCGACACGACGCGGCCGAGGCTGCGGATGCGTTGGAGAAGTGCCGGCACGCCGGGTTCGACAACGTGAACCTGAACCTGATGTACGGTTTGCCTCAGCAGTCGTTGGCACAATGGCGGGACACGGTGGAGCGGACGGTGGCGCTGGAGCCGGAGCATCTGTCGCTGTATGCGTTGACTCTGGAGGAAGGTACTCCGTTGCGCCGATGGGTGGCGGACGGTCGGCTGCCGGAGCCGGATCCGGACCTGGCGGCGGATATGTACGACCTGGCCCGCGCTGAACTGGCAACAGCTGGGTACCAGCATTACGAGATCAGCAACTGGTCGCGGGTGGGTCGGGAGTCGGTGCACAACCTGGCCTACTGGCTGAATCTGGAGTGGCTGGGCGTTGGGCCGGGGGCTCATTCATCACTGGGTCGGTGCCGGTTCTGGACGGTACGCTCGCCCCGGGAGTATGCCAAACGGGCGGAAGAATGGGCGCGGCGGGCGGAGGCCGAAGGCCGCTGGCCGATGGTGTCGTCGGACGGCATCAGGGCGGTGCCGACGGTGGACGACCTGGAGGTTATTGACGGGGACACGTCGGCGGCGGAAACGATGTTCCTGGGACTGCGTCTGCTGGAAGGGATGGACCTGGCCTCCGCGTCGGAGCGGGCCGGGATCGATCTGGCGTTTCGATACGAACGGGAGTTGGCCGATCTGACGGGCGAGGGGTTGTTGGAATGGGGATGTGATGGCCGGCTGCGTCTGTCCGAGGGGGCGTATCTGGTGGCCAACCAGGTGTTTACGCGGTTTTTGTGATGGAAAACCGCCAAGATCGCTGATTATTGGTTCGAATAACCAATACGTTTTGCACTACGTGTGATCTGATACACCAGAGCGGTTTGCATGGACGAGATATGGAAAACTATTGGAGACCTCCCCGAAGGGCTGAAAATGGCCGCGATGCTTATGACAGTGATACACGCTATGGCGATATCCGCATTGGGCACCTTACGTTTATTTCCTGCTGATTGGCGTGATGTAAGATTCTTGAATTTGCGGGTGTATCGTATTTTGGTAATTCTGGCCGTGGCGCCGATCTTGGTGCTGGTGCTGTTATCAATTCCTTATGTCAGTCGGGCCGTTGTCAATGATTTCTTTGCTCCGGACGCGTCGCATTCTGAACCATCGAATCACATCTTTTACTACCAGCAAAGTCATAGCGACGAACGCAAACAACCAAGCAATCAGCACTAGGCTAAATAGCAGTGCCCCAGCGACGAGAACCTGATCCTTGTCCCGGGCATCTCCCCAATAAACCAATATCACTGCGATGATGGTCGTGGTGCCCGTTCCGATCAATAGATAAGTCATCCAGAACGACTTTGCCAACGGATCTCGGCCGCGCGTTTGGCTACTCAAGGGCGTTAGACCGCTGTGATTTTCATCAGCCATCTGACTGTCACACACTATTCGTGGCCCACATTTAGTGTAGTAATCGGATGCGTCGCTCAGCCAACAGGATACCGATGACTCACCATTCAGGCGACGGTAGATTTAGGTCATCTTCATCCCATTATACGCTCAGGGATCGATACTCGCCTATGCTAAACTGCCAGCGGGCCACTGACTGCCCCCCACTGTTCACCGCAGACTCGCCACGGAGGTCCTACTATGGCGGTACAGCCTTACACCATCAGCGTTTCGGACGAGGCGCTGGAAGATTTGCAGCATCGGCTGGCCCACGTGCGCTGGCCCGACGAAATACCGGGCGCCGAGTGGGATTACGGGTCGAATCTCGATTACATCAAGGAGCTGGTTGCCTACTGGCGAGATGGTTTTGACTGGCGGAAAGCGGAGGCCGGCCTGAACGCCTTTGCCAATTTCTACACGACCATCGACGGGCAGGGGATCCACTTCATCCACGAGAAGGGCAAAGGCCCCAATCCAATGCCCATCGTGGTTACCCACGGGTGGCCGGGCACCATCTACGAGATGCATAAAATCATTCCGATGCTGACCGATCCGGCGAGCCACGGCGGCAATCCGGAGGACTCTTTTGACGTGGTGGTGCCGTCGATGCCCGGCTACGGTTTCAGCGCGCAGACGCGTGAGAGGGGAATCAACACGCGGAAGATCGCCGAGCTGTGGGACAAGCTGATGGCCGACGAACTGGGTTACCAGCGATACGCCGCGCAGGGCGGTGACTGGGGCGCCGGTGTTACCGCCCGCCTGGGCTTTCACCACGACAACCACGTGCTGGGTCTGCACACGACATCAGTGACGCAGGCCATTCCGTACCAGGGCGGCAGTCTGGAAGGGTTGGGGATTCGCGAGCGGCTGGAGCAGGTGATCGGTACTACCCAGGGAGGCTATCGCCGGGACTGGACGGCCACGCTGTCTGACGAAGAGATCAACATGATCGACCAGCGGGTGGCATGGCAGGGCGCCGAGGGTGGTTACGCGCATATTCAGGGTACGAAACCGCAGACGCTGGCCTACGGACTGAACGACTCGCCGGTGGGGCTGTGCGCCTGGATCGTGGAGAAGTACCGCACGTGGAGCGATTGCAACGGGGACGTTGAAAGCGTTTACACGAAAGATGATTTGCTGACCACGGTAATGATTTACTGGGTTACCCAGACGATCAATTCCAGCACGCGGCTGTATTACGAAAACAGCCGGACGCCGTGGTACTTTGGCCCCGACGACCAGATCGGCGTGCCCTGCGGCATCGCCGTGTTTCCGAAGGAGCTGTCGATACCGCCGAGGCCGTGGGCGGAACGCACCTACAACATTCAGCGCTGGACCGAGATGGACAGCGGAGGACACTTCGCCGCGCTGGAGAAGCCGACTGAACTGGTGGCCGATATTCGGGAGTTTTTCCGCGGACTGAGGTAGGGAATCGGGCGGCGCAGCAGCCGGGAGGCCGACCGGCCACAATCATGTAACAGTTCAGACTCGGCGGGTTGTTTCCGTCCCAATCCGTCACCACTCCGTCATTCCGGCCTTGAGCCGGAATCCAGAGGCGTATTTAAACCGCAATGTTGCTTATCCTCGGTTTCCTGGATTCCCGCTTTCGCGGGAAAGACAAGATGGGGCCAGGATATTACCTTCAATTCTGAACAGTTGCTCAAATATCGCCGGGCTGACACGACCATCAAAAACCGTTACCATTACGCTCAACCATGAGGCAACGCAAGTCTGGCAAATGGGCCGGACAACAAGGAGGAACCCGTTAGATGATTACCAAGTTTGGCAGCCTTTGGGCCGGCAACGTCGATATGGACAACCCCGGCTACCAGGGGACTCCCGCCAATGATCGTTGGCTGACCGACGAGGAACTGGGCGGCGGCGCAGTCGACAAGGCGGAGCAGCTGGCAACCACCATGGACCGGTTGGGTTACGATAGTTTCTGGGTGGCGGAGCACCACTTCCAGCGGGAAGGCTACGAGTGCATCCCCAACCTGTTGATGCTGTATGTACACCTGGCTCACCTGACCACCAATCTGCGCTACGGCTGCGGTTTCAACATCAACCCCATGTGGAACCCGGTGCGGCTGGCCGAGGACTATGCAACCGCCGACTGGCTGACCGACGGGCGGGTGCGTTTTGGCGTGGGTCGCGGATACCACACCCGCGAGGTGGAGGTGTTCGGATCTCCCATTATGGACCAGAACGCCAACCGCGAGCTGTTCGAGGAGCAGGTGGAGGTGATCTGGAAGGCTTTCAACCAGCGCAGTTTCTCCCACCACGGCAAGCATTTTGACATCCCGCCGCACGTACCCTATCGCGGGTATGAGCTGGAAGAGATTACGCTCGTGCCACGGCCCAAGCACGAGGTGGAATGGTGGCAGCCGGTGGTATCGGCCAGCGACCGGGCTATCAACTTCATGGCCAAGTGGGGAATCAATGGAATTATCGGCGGCGGTGCGGCTACGGGCGGCGCCAGCGACGACGTGATTCAACGCTGGCAGGCCATCCACGCCGAGCACGGCAAGGATTACAAGCTGGGTGAGGGTTTGATCGTTGGTTACTCGGTGCAGCTGGCTAACAGCGAGAAGGAAGCGATGGACCAGGCGCGTTACTGGATGGAAGAGCGGGTGAAGATGTTCGGACCGTTGGGCTTCATAGCCGGCCTGAGCGAGGAGCAGCTGAACGCGCTGAACGCTTTCGGGCGTCCGGTGCCGCAGGGCCTGAAGATGCCGACGATTGAAGAGTCGGTGGCAGCCGGGCAGTACCTGGTTGGTCCGCCGGAACGGGTTACCGAGCAGTTGATGGAAGTGCAGGAGCGCTACCCTGGCCTCCAGGAAGTCAACATCGGGGTTACCAACATGGGTATGCCGACGTCGGCGTCGCTGGACCAGCTGGAATGGTTCGCCAGCGACGTCATGCCGCATTTCAACAAGTAGGGCGCGATAATCCGGCGACGGCGTCGGAGCGCGACGAATCACGAATAGCATGACGGGTTGGCGCTGTTGAGGCGCTGGCCCGTCTTCGATTGGCTATAGGGCCCGGTCGTTAGGGGCGTCCGGTTAGGCCGCTCATGCGTACGGACTTTGTCATTGTGACCCCGTACTCGATGCGGGGGTTGGCAATCTCGATGAGGCCGAACACACGTAGACCATCCTTCGACAAGCTCAGGACGAACGGCCCGGTGGGGCCGGCCGGGATTGCCACGTCGCTGCGCTCCTCTCAATGACAGATTAAAGCGGGTACGCGCTAGGGTTAGGGCCTTTCGATTATCCCGTCATTCCGGCCTTGAGCCGGAATCCATAGGCTTCCGCCAAGGGTTCGATGGCTTCCAATGAGATTGTCCCAGGTTCCCGCTTTTGCGGGAAAGACGAGCCTGTGGACAATCAAAAGACCCTGGCGCCGGTTGTGTGTGGCCTTGATTTTCGATTGGCGGCGGGTTGATAATCTGCACGCTGCGTTCCTGACGGGGACTGAAACTGCGACGGGTGGCAGGAGAAACATTGGCAACTGATTACCAACCTCGGCCCGCCGCCGTGACCACCGTGGTCGGAGCCACCACTTGGGGTACCACGCTGGGGATCATTGCGGCCAGGCTGGGTCATGCGGTGCGGTTGTTGTGCCGCACGGCTGAGGAAGCCGACGGACTGCGAAGGGATGGCGAACATATGCGTCGCCTGCCTGGATACCGATTTCCGCCGGGGCTGACGCTGGAACACGATCCGGCGAGGGGGCTGGATGGCGCTGCCCTGATAATCGTGGCGTCGCCGTCGGACCGATTCCGGCAGAATGTGCAGCGCATCGCTGGGTCGGTGGCCGGCGACGCAGTGGTGCTGAGCGTGACCAAGGGTTTCGACCGGCCCGGCAGTCTACGCATGACCGAGGTGATGGCCCAGGAATTGCCGGGACTGGACGCCGGGCTGTTTGCCGCGCTGTCGGGGCCAAGCCTGGCCGACGAGGTGATCGCCGAAAAACCGGTGTCCATCGTGGCGGCTTCGGAAAGTGATGCCAGCTGCCGGCTGGTTCAGGACACGCTGATGTCGCCAATGTTTCGCATTTACACGAGCGACGACGTGGTGGGGGTAGAACTGGGGGGCGCGTTGAAGAACATTGTGGCGCTGGCCGGGGGCATCGCCGATGGTCTGGATGCGGGAGATAGCGCCAAGGCGGCGCTGGTTACGCGGGGGTTGGCAGAAATCAGCCGGCTGGGTATTGCCGCGGGGGCGCGTCCGCTGACGTTTGCCGGTCTGGCCGGCCTGGGTGACGTGATGGCGACGTGCGCCAGTCCCTACAGCCGCAACCGTCGTGTGGGCGAGGAGCTGGGCAAGGGCCGGCGTCTGGAGGATATTCTGGCCGGCATGGACGCGGTGGCGGAAGGCGTGAATACCACTCTGGGCGCTCTGGAACTTTCGGAGCGGCTGAACGTGGACATGCCGATCACGCGGTTGATGGCACGGGTGTTGTTCGAGGGGTTGCCGGCGTCGGATTGCATTCCTGCGTTGATGGAGAGACCGCCGCGTCCGGAGTGGTAGGGGTTCGCGGCTGCTCGATCCGGCCGTCGTCGGAGGCTGACGGATTAGGCCGCCGCGCAGTCGGAACCCCAACTATCTTTACGAGGAATCGGGCGGATTGGATGGCTGCCCCGCACTGGCCCTGCTCCAACGGTTTCGCGGAGGGCAGGGCTGCGACGGTATTGCCACGTCGCTGCGCTTTTCGCAATGACAGGGGGTCCTTCGACGGGCTCAGGAGGAACGGGGGGTTCGCCCTCACCCCCGTATCAAGTACGGGGCAGGCTCCAGCCCTCTCCCATCAACGGAGAGGGGGTCCTTCGACGGGCTCAGGACGAACGGGGGGTCCAACCCTCACCCCCGTATCAAGTACGGGGCAGGCTCCAACCCTCTCCCATCAAGGGAGAGCGGCCTTTCGACAGGCGCAGGATTAGGGACGAGACAGGGTTAGCGGAGTTCGCGGGGCAGGGTGAAGGTAATGTCCTCGTCGGCGCCGGTGATCAGCGAGACGCGTTCGGGTTTCAGAGCTTCGATTACGGCTTCTACCAGGACCTCGGGGGTGGATGCGCCGGAGGTGATGCCGACGCGGTTTCTGCCGTCCAGCCAGTGGGGTTCGATCTCATCGGGACCGTTGATGAGGTATGCCGGCACTCCGTTGGCTTCGGCGACCTCACGCAGGCGGTTGCAGTTGGACGAGTTTTGGGCTCCGATTACCAGCACGACGTCCACCTGGCCGGCCATTTGCGTAACGGCGTCCTGCCGGTTGGTGGTGGCGTAGCAGATGTCGTTGCGTACGACGGCGGCCGGGAACCGGTCATTGATGGCGGCGATGGCGCTGGCGGTGTCGCCGACGGACAGGGTGGTTTGGGTGATGACGGCCACCTCGGAGTCTGCCGACCAGCCGATGTCGGGATCGGCCACTTCGTCGGGCAGGGGAGACGTATCGTCGACCAGTGTCATGGGAACCTGCCCCATCGTTCCGCGTACTTCCTGATGCCCGTGGTGTCCCACCAGCAGAACGCGTTTTCCTTCGCGGTGGTACTTCTTGGCCTCGTTGTGGACGCGGGTTACCAAAGGGCACACCGCGTCGATTACTCTCAGGTTACGCAGTTCGGCACGCTGGAAATCTTCGGGCGGCGAACCGTGGGCGGAGAATACGACCAAGGCGCCGTCGGGCACTTCGTCGACCTCTTCCACCGTGATGGCTCCCTTGCGCTCCAGTTCGGCCACGACGTAGGGGTTGTGGACGATCTGGTGCTTGACGTATACGGGGGGGCCGAAACGCTCGAGGCATAGCTCCACCACTTCGATGGCCCGCACCACGCCAGCGCAAAATCCGCGGGGTGAGCTCAGTACGACTTCAACCATTTATGACCTCAAGTGCGATCAGGGTGTATTGACGTTGCCCGTAATTCCCGCGCAACCGGGAATGACGGCAAGGTTGTCGGGATGGCTAGGCGCTATCGGGTTCCCAGCCCCAGGGCCGGGGACCCCAACCGGCTTCGTACACCTGACCGCGCTTGACGGACATGACGGGCAGCACGGCGCGTTCCGAGGAGCGTCCGGTTCCCAGCACGTCGTAGACGACCCAGCTGCCGTCGACGATATCGAGGATCGATACATCGGCCTGTTTGCCAACCTCCAGACTGCCCAGGCGGTCGCCTTCGCCGATGGCGCGAGCCGGGTTGATGGTGCACATTTCCACCACGCGATCAAGGGTGAAGCCCATGGCCAGGAACCGGGTCATCATCTCGGTCATGCTGTGGACGGTGCGGATGCGGCCGGGAACCGTGAGGTCGGTGCTGATGCAGTGGGGTTCTACGCCCTGATCGAGCACGCGCTCACCGATGTCGAAGCTGAAGTTGGCGCGACCGTGGGCGGTGTCGAGCCAAACGCCGCGCTCATGGGCCTCCCTGGCTTCGGGAACCAGATTGCCGTCGGTGTCCAGCACGCCGCCGGGGTTGGCGGTGAAGAAGTGGGTAACGATGTCGCCCGGCTCCATGATGGGGAGCAGTTCGCGGATGACCTCGGCGGGATAGCGCTTTTCGGTGTCGCCGATGTGAACCATCAGGGGGACGCCGGCTTCTTTAGCGGCCCGCTTGGCGAGGCGGGGCATCTCCATGCCCATTATTTCGAGAGCCGGCGAAACCATTCGGGCCTTGATGCCGCGGATGACGCCGTTGCTTTCTTCGATGACCTGTATGGTGCGTTCCAGGTCGATGCTGCTGGGCGAGAAAATGTCGGGAGTGGTGGCGAGTCCGGTGCGGCAGATGTGCAGGAAGGGGATGATCTCGGTGGCGTTGCCGGGGATGATGTGGGCCGGGAAACCGCCGTAGGTATCGCATCCGCTGCTGCCAGCATCCACCATGGTGGTTACGCCAGCGCGCACGCCGCCGACATCGGCGTTGACACCGTTGCCGTTCACGCCTTCGTAGACGTGAGTGTGGAGGTCGATGAGGCCGGGGGTGACGTATTTGCCTTTTACTTCGACAACGCGCGATGCCTGATCAGCAGCGATGTCGGCGGCGACGGCGGCGATTTTGCCGTCTTCGATGGCTATGTCGAACGCGCCGTTCAGCCCTTGCGTGGGGTCGACAACAGTGCCGCCCTTGATCAGCAGGTCATACATGAACTGGTGCCCTCCGGTGGTATTGGGGAGTTACGGTTTATTGGTGGATGGTCTGGATACGCGGTGTGGGATTTCTCAGGATGATCCTTCGACAGGCTCAGGATGATCGGGGATTTGGGCTCAGGATGATCCTTCGACGGGCTCAGGATGAGCGGGGATTTGGGCTCAGGATGATCCTTCGACGGGCTCAGGATGAGCGGGGATTTGGGCTCAGGGTAATGTTCCTATTTACTGGAACAGCTCGCCGACGGAGCGGCCCTCGTGGATGCGGCGGATGGCCTCTCCGAGCAGCGGCGCCACCGACAGCACGGTGAGGTTGCTGAAATTCTGCTTTTCGCTGAGGGGAACGGTGTCGGTTACAACCACCTCGGAGTAGGGGCTGTCGGCCAGGAGGCCCGGCGCGACCGATGAAAAAACCGGGTGCGTAGCACAGCAGTACACCTCGGTAACGCCGGCGTCGAGCAGGGCATTGGCGGCGTTGACGATGGTGCCGCCGGTGAGGATTTCGTCGTCGAAGGTTAGGGCGCGTTTGCCACGAACGTCGCCGATGACGTTGAGAGTCTCGGAGCGATCATCGTTGCCGGTGCGGCGCTTTTCGATCACGGCCACGGGAATGCCCAACCGTTCGGCCATGTCGCGGGCCCGCTTGCTGATACCGAAGTCGACAGCCACCAGCACCAGGTCTTCCAGGCCTTTTTCGGCGAAGTAGTTAGACAGGATGGGTTCGGCGGTGAGTTCGTCGACGGGGATGTTGAAGAAGCCCTGGATCTGGCCGGCGTGCAAATCGAGGGTGAGCACGCGGTCGGCGCCGGCGGTTGATATGAGGTCGGCGACAAGGCGGGCGGTGATGGGCACACGGGGCTGGTCTTTCTTGTCGGTTCTGCCGTAGCCGTAGTAGGAGACGACGGCGGTGATTCGCCCGGCGGACGCCCGGCGGCAGGCGTCCATCATGATGAGCAGCTCCATGAGGTTATCGTTGGTGGGAGCTACGGTGGGCTGGATGATGAAAACGTCGCGCTCACGAATGTTTTCCCCGATGCGGACGAACGTGTTGTCATTGGCAAACTTGAATGCCTCGCTTTGGCCCAGCTCGATGCCCAGATATGCGCAAACATCCCGGGCCAGTTTGGGGTGGGCGTTGCCGGAGAACACCTTTAGTTCGTTGAGCATTGACATTGCAGCACCTTTTGATTGCGGAGAATGAGCGGCGCCGGGCACACTCAGGCAGCATACCGGCGGATGTACGGGGTAGCCACGTCATGGTAAAGGGGCGGCCAAGGCTAGTCAACGGTTGGTTGCCGGCGATGGCGGGAGGGAGGTGGTCCTTCGACAGGCTCAGGATGAGCGGGGGATGTTGTGGGTGGGGATTGCCACGCTCACGCCGACCCTTTGCCGGCGATGGCGGGAGGGAGGTGGTCCTTCCACAGGCTCAGGATGCGCGGGGGATGTTGTGGGTGGGGATTTGCCGGGAGATCGTGCGGCGGGTGTGTTCCTCTCGTCGCGAGGCGAGTGATAATATTTGTTCAGGACGGGTGGCGCAGAAAGGGATGGGAAGGGACGGGCTTGGTTGCTGAAGGGTCCGCCTGATGCTGGAGAATCCGTCTGTAACTGGACAATATGGAACAACGTAACTGGCTGAGGGAACTGGTAGAGGCCACGCTGATAGGCGCGTTGGTGTTCGTGGCCATTCAGGTTGCCGTGGTGAATTTTCGCGTGGAAGGTTCAAGCATGAATCCCACGCTGATGCCGGGCCATTACCTGATGGTGAACAAGCTGGTTTATTTTCAGCTGGATACGGGCCGGCTGGGGAGGATAATCCCATTCTGGCGGCCTGCCGAACCCCGGAACGCTTACTTGGGGCGTTCGCCACACCGGGGGGACGTTATCGTGTTCGACTACCCGCGGGATACGGAGCGTCAATTCGTAAAACGCATCATCGGGGCGCCGGGGGACACGGTGGCAATCGCTAACGGGTCGGTGAGCATCAATGACGAAAGGCTGGATGAACCCTATTTGAAGGTGCGGGGCAATACCGACTACGGGCCGTTGACGTTGGCCCGAGACGAGTATTTTGTGCTGGGAGACAACCGAACCGGCAGCCAGGATTCCCGAGATTGGGGCACGTTAACCGCCGACCACATCATCGGAAAGGTATGGGTGGTGTATTGGCCGCAGTCGGCGTGGGGGTTGCTAAGGTAGTGATGGGTCGGGCGCGAAACCAGGGGAGGGTGATGGTCTATTCGGCCTCGATGGCTGGCCCCACCAGGACGTCATCGCCCTCGACGCGAATGGCGAACTTGCGCAATGCCTGGGTGGCAGGGGGAGTAATGGGCTTACCACTGGCCACGTCGAAGACTGCTCCGTGGAGGGGGCAAACCAACTCGCCTTCTTCCAGGTCGCCTTCGGAAAGGTTGGCGTAGGCGTGGGTGCAGATGTCGTCGCAGGCGTGAAGTTCGCCGTCGAGGTTAACCAGCAATATTTCCTCGGGGCCCACCTTGATGGATAGCATGTCGCCGGGGGGAACGTCGCTGAGTGAGGCAACTTTGACAAATTCGTCGGCCATTGAAAAGCTCCTTAATTATCCGTCTGCAATCAGGCGTCTGCGGTCTTGCCGTGCCGGCGCGAACATCGGCAGGCGCCAGTAACCGTCGGCAACTTATTATATGACAAAATAGCAGGATTCCGGGCTGGGAAAGAGGCCAACATTGCGGGTTTCTTCGGGAATGGGTTACGCTTTTCGACAGGTTCAGGACGATCCATCGACGGGCTCAGGACGAACGGGGGTTCACCCTCACCCCCGTATCAAGTACGGGGCGGGCTCCAACCCTCTCCCATCAAGGGGAGAGGGGGTCCTTCTACGGGCTCACCACGTTGTAAGGGGCGGGCTCCAACCCTCCCATCAGGGAGTGGGGGTCCTTCGACGGGCTCAGGACGAACGGGGGTTCACCCTCACCCCCGTATCAAGTACGGGGCAGGCTCCAACCCTCTCCCATCAAGGGAGACGGGGCGGGATGCGCGCAGACAATCGGGTTGAAAGTGTTGCGGGATTGGTTGCCTATTTGGTCGGCACGTGATAGCCTGTTTGCGAAAGAGATAACGACGCCATAATGAATGGAAGGGTTCTTGTCTGGTAATGATAGACGCAGAAGTTAAGCAGGGGATTATTCAGGAATACCGCACCCACGAGTCGGACACAGGTTCCACCGAGTTGCAAGTAGCGATGCTCACGGAGCGGATTCGGCAGGTGACAGACCACCTTCGCACCCATCGGAAAGACGTCCATTCGCGTCGAGGGCTGGTTACCATGGTGTCGAAACGGCGGCGGTTGCTCAACTATTTGAGCAGCGAGGACGTTGGGCGCTATCAAAGATTGATTGGACGACTTGGGCTGCGCCGCTAAGGCGGCTTCCACGGCGATCAGGCTCGGTGGCTGCCGTTAACCGGCGATCGCAATTGACCGACGCTTAGCCGTTGTATAAAAGCCCCATTGACGCCATTTGTTTTCCGGCATCGGCCAAACCGCGAATCACCCTTGTACGTATATGGTGTAGAGCAGTGCGCCACCGCTGACCGAAAGGTGCGATAACAGCCCGAGAAATGACGGAACCGGATCCCGCCGGGACGCCGGACGTATTGGGCGAGAAACGAAGAAGAACCGGTATGGAAGAACCGGAGGACGGGGTAGAGAAAGTCGGGGGAACCGACGCCACCAATTTCAGCCGACCGGCTGCGCGTCGCCCGATTTTCACACAGGATATCGCCGGCTTGGCATTGATATGAAGCATGGCTGGCCAGCACACCAAATCGCAAGAGAGAGGTAGAGAACACTCTGGTTATGACCACAACTGACACTATTAGCGCACTTATGAATCCGTTTGCCGTAACTGGCGAGATTGGCGGCCATACTATTGTTATGGAAACGGGCCGCCTGGCACAGCAGGCGCATGGCGCCGTAACCATCACGTGCGGCGAGACCATATTGCTGGCGACCGCGGTGATGTCTGAGCAGCGGCGGGAGGGGATCGACTTCCTGCCGTTGACCGTCGAGTTTGAAGAAAGGCTGTACGCGGTGGGCAAAATTCCCGGCAGCTTCTTCCGTCGCGAAGGCCGCCCCGGCACCGAAGCCATTCTGTCGGCGCGCCTTACCGACCGCAGCATACGACCCCTTTTCCCCAAGGGAATGCACAACGAAATCCAGGTAATCATCACCGTATTGTCGGTGGACGAAGAGCATCCGCCGGAAACGCTGGGCATGGTGGCCGCTTCCGCTGCGCTGTCCATCAGCCGCATACCCTTCGAGGGACCCATCGCCTCCTGCCGCGTAACGTGGGATGGCAGCGGGTATTCGATCAACTCCAGTTACCAGCAGATCAGCGCATCGCGTCTGAATATGATTGTGGCCAGCAACCGGGGCGCCATCATGATGGTGGAATCGGGATCACAGGACGTGTCGGAGGAAGTGATCCTGGAGGGCATTCGCCTGGCGCACGAGAGCAACGTGCAGACCATAGAACTGATCGACCAGATGGTGGCAGAACGCGGGGCCGAAAAGCTCACCGTTACTTACGACGCCGAGGCCACGGCAGCCCGCCAGAACAAAGTTGACGCACTGGTCAACGGACGGATCGCCGAAGTTCTGGAGCGCAACGCCTACAAGAGCGAACGTGATTCCAGCCTGGATGCCATCGAGAAAGATATTGCGGCGCAACTGGCCGACGACCTGTCTGCCGGCGAGGTGGCCGAATCGTTCAAGAACCTGGTGAAGTCGGAGGTCCGCAGCCGGATTTTGAACAAAAACGTCAGACCCGACGGGCGCAAGCTCGACGAGATACGCCCCATCACCTGCAGCGTGGGCGAGTTGCCCCGAGTACATGGCAGCGGGTTGTTCACCCGTGGTCAAACGCAGGTGCTGTCGATTGCCACGCTGGCATCGCTGTCGATGCGGCAGACGCTTGACACCGTGGGTCCTGACAACACCAAGCAGTTCATGCACCATTACAACTTCCCGCCGTACAGCGTTGGCGAAGCGCGGCGCGTGGGTTCACCGGGCCGCCGGGAAATCGGACACGGCGCACTGGCCGAACGGGCCATTCAGGCGGCGTTGCCTCCGGAAGCGGAATTTCCGTACACCATTCGCGTCGTCAGCGAGGTTTTGGCCTCCAACGGGTCGACGTCGATGGGTAGTGTGTGTGGTTCGTCAATGGCATTGATGGATGCGGGCGTGCCCCTTAAGGCGCCCGTGGCCGGTATTGCGATGGGCCTGATCACCGACGCCGCTGATGGGCAGTATGCCGTCCTCAGCGACATTCAGGGCATCGAGGACTTCCTCGGCGACATGGACTTCAAGGTTGCCGGTACGGAAGAGGGAATCAACGCCCTGCAGATGGACGTGAAAATTGATGGACTGACCCAGGAGCTTCTGAGTGAGGCGCTGGAGCAGGCCCGGGTGGGTCGGCTGCACATCCTGGACCGCATGTCGGAAGCTATCTCTGAGCCCAGGAACCAGATGAGCAAGTACGCGCCCAAGCTGGTGCGGATGCAGATTCCGGTCGAGAAGATTGGCGCTCTCATTGGCCCGGGAGGCCGGGTAATTCGTGCCATCCAGGAAGAGACCGGTTGCGGAATCGACGTGTCGGACGATGGCTCGGTGATTATTTCTTCCAGCGACCAGACGATGATCGAGCTGGCCAGCAGTCGGGTTGACGGCCTGACCCGTGATCCCGAGGTGGGAGACATCATTACCGGAAAAATCACTCGGACGACCAACTTCGGCGTGTTCGTTGAGTTGACGCCGGGCGGGAAGGACGGACTGGTTCGCAACGAAGACCTGGGCGACCTCGCCTACGATGACGTTGGAATGGGCCAGGAAATTACCGTAATGATCCGGGAGATCGACCACATGGGCCGCATCAATCTGTCGCGGCGCGCCCTGTTGGGCGACGACTCGCCGCCACCGCCGCGTCCAGAACGCAGCAACTTTGGCGGCGACCGTGATCGAGACCGTGGTGGAGATCGAGGCCCGCGAGGCGGCGGCGGTGGAGATCGTGGTGGAGATCGAGGCCCGCGAGGTGGCGGCGGCGGTGGAAACCGTGGCGGTTACGGTGGTGGCGGCGGTGGAAACCGCGGCGGCTACGGCGGAGACCGTGATCGCAACGCACCCGTCGGCGGAGACCGAGACCGCGGCGGAGACCGTGATCGCAACGCACCCGCCGGCGGTGATCGAGACCGTGGCGGTGACCGTGATCGCAACGCACCCGCCGGCGGTGATCGAGACCGTGGCGGTGACCGTGGTCGCAACGCACCCGCCGGCGGTGGAAACCGTGGCGGCTACGGCGGCGGCGGAGACCGTGATCGCAACGCACCCGGCGGCGGTGGAAACCGTGGCGGCTATGGTGGCGGCGGCGGAAACCGTGGCGGATCTGGTGGCGGCGGCGGTGGAAACCGCGGCGGATCTGGTGGCGGCGACGGCGGAAACCGCGGCGGACCTGGTGGCGGGAGCGGTGGTGAACGAGATCGTGGCGGCGAACGTGATCGCAACACGATTTTGGGGAGCGATCCCAACGACCGTGACCGGGGCGGGCGTCGTCCTCCGGGCCGGCCCCCTGGGCGCGACTCCGGACGAGGCAACCCCTCCGACCGGCGGTTCCTGGGCGGCGGCGGAGCACGGCCTTAAACCGTCCGCACCGACCTTTCCCAATGCAGCCCCTCTCCCAACGGAGAGGGGTTTTTCTTGACGGCGAGCGGGTCGGGATGGGTCAATCGTAGTGTGATATATTTGGGCCAACAGGCTCTTGACGGGTTCAAGACAGGCCCCGCCCAGCCTGGTGGCAGGGCAATATTCTTGGTCCAACTCGGCATGTATTTCGGCAGGAGGACGCTATGAGTGATCCAGCAACGGGCGGGAAGATTTCAGTGGTGGTTCACGGCGCAACCGGCAGGATGGGCGCCGAGACGGTGCGGGCGTTGTCTGGCGCCGACGACATGGCTCTGGTGGGTGCGACCTGCAATACGCCACGGGGCGAAACGCTGCCCACCCCGGGTGGCGGCGTTCCGTTGTCAACCGACCTGGCCAGCATGCTGGACGCCACCAGGCCGGACGTGATGGTCGAGTTCACCCACGCCGCGGCCTGCATGGAAGCAGCGCCGCTGGCGGCGGCCCGGGGTATCCACATGGTGCTGGGAGCCAGCGGCCTGAACGCTGAGCAGCTGCAGTCGCTGGATACGATGAGTCGCGAGCACGGCATCGGGGTTATCGTGGCCCCGAATTTTGCCCTGGGAGCGGTGGTGTTGAAGAAGCTGGCCGAACAGGCCGCCGCCTTTTTCGATTACGTGGACGTGGTGGAGGCCCACCATGAGATGAAGATAGACGCTCCCTCGGGGTTTTCGCTCGCCATCGCCCGGGGTATGCGGGAAGAGAGGGGCCGGGACTTTGAGCGCAATCAAACCGAGATTCACCACCTGGACGAAACCCGAGGCGGCGACATCGGCGGCGTGGGTATCCATAGTATGCGATTGCCCGGCCGCAGCGCCCACCACGAGGTGGTATTTGGGGCGGGCGGCCAGACCCTGAGCATCCGCCACGACACGCTGGGCCGCGACTGCTACATGCCGGGTGTGTTGCGCTGCGTGCGCGAGGTCGGTAATCGTCCCGGCCTTACCGTCGGTCTGGAAACCGTGCTGGGGCTGTGAATGTCACCCTCACCCTACCCTCTCCCATCAAGGGAGAGGGGGTACCTCGACGGGTTCAGGATGGGAGGAGAGACGGGTAATCTGGACGATATCGGGCACCGGGTGTAATCTGAATAATGGGCAATATGTCAGTCACGCCAACCGATTCATGAGCCGCGGAGATAACTGCGCCGATTGACCGACCGTCCAGTCTCGGAGCCCCCACACCGCAAACCGCACATCGCCGGGATTTCGGCGGTAAATCCGTTTTTACATCTTCAACGCAAACCACAGGAGCAACATGGACCTACAAGGAATGAACCTCGCCATAGTGGGCGCTACCGGCGCCGTCGGCCAGGTAACCTTGCGCCTCATCGAGGCACGTTACCCGCAGCATCGCAACCTGAAGCTGCTGGCATCCAAGCGCTCCGCCGGTAGGAAGATGAACGTGAACGGCAAGACATTTGTGGTGGAAGAAACCACTGATGACTCCTTCGATGACGTCGATATCGCCTTCATCTCGGTGAGCACCGAGGCGTCGCGTCGGTTTGGTCCGGTGGCGGCGCGGGCCGGCGCGATGGTCATCGATGATTCCAGCGCCTTTCGCATGGAGCAGGCGGTTCCGCTGGTGGTGCCGGAAGTGAATGGTTCTGATCTGTTGTGGCACGACGGCATCGTGTCGATTCCCAACTGCTCGACCACGCCGCTGGTGATGGTGGCGCACCCGTTGCGTCAGGCGAGTCCGATCCGCCGCATCGTTGCCGACACCTACCAGTCTGTTTCCGGGGCCGGCGGCGCGGCGATGGACGAATTGCGCGAGCAGACCCGCACCGTCATGCACGGCGGGCCGGCAGAACCGAACGCGCAGCCCCAACGCATCGCTTTCAACGTGTTTCCCCAAATCGATGGGTTCAACGAAACCGGCTACACTGTGGAAGAACAGAAGATGATCGATGAAAGCCGGAAGATTCTGCACGCACCGGACATAGCGTTGTCGGCGACGTGCGTGCGGGTTCCCGTGCTGGTATCTCACTGCGTGGCGGCACACCTGGAGTTTGAGCAGCCGGTATCGGCGGGAGAAGCGCGTGAGCTACTGAGCCAGATGCCCGGCGTAACCGTCCAGGACGACCCGGCAGCGTCGGTGTATCCGATGCCGGTATCTGCGGCCGGCTGCGACGATGTGTTCGTGGGACGGATTCGCAAGGACGCATCGCATCCCAACGGGTTGGCCATGTGGGTAGTGACGGATAACCTGGTGAAAGGTGCGGCGCTGAACGCTCTGCAAATCGCCGAAGAAGCCGTTGCTCTCGGCGCGGTGCACGGGCAACGTCGCTAACGCTCCTCGCAATGACGGGGGGCGGGTGGGATTTGCTATCGCCCCAAAGTAACCAAATGTGTATAATGCCGGCAAAGTTGCCGGTTTGCAGACGCCGGGCCCCGATTTACGACCAAACGGGCCACCGCGACCGACGAGGAGGGATGCTAAATGCCTACTGAGATTGGCCGACTGATTACCGCTATGGTTACTCCGTTCGATGCTGAAGGCCAGGTTGACTACGAACAGGCCAAGCGTCTCGCAGTGGCGCTGCTGGATTCCGGCTCTGATGGCCTGGTAGTAACCGGAACCACCGGGGAAGGCCCGGCGTTGTCGATGGACGAAAAGGCCCGCCTGTATGGTGAGGTTAAAGATGCTATTGGCGACCGGGGCGCGGTAATCGCCGGCACGAGCGATAACAACACGACTGCATCCATAGAGTTGAGCAAGGAAGCCGAGCGGGTTGGAGCCGATGCGTTGCTGCTAACAGTTCCGGCGTACAACAAGCCGCCCCAGGAAGGATTGTATCGGCATTTCAAGGCACTGGCGGAATGTACGAACCTGCCGGGGATGCTGTACAACGTGCCGAGTCGCACCAGCCTGAACATGACCAACGAGACAACGGTGCGGCTGTCGGGAATAGATAACATCATTGGCATCAAAGAGGCCAGCAGCGACCCGGTTCAGATTGCCCGGGTGATTCGCGACACTCCCGACGATTTTCGCGTCTGGTCGGGCAACGACGACGAAACCTTTGGCATCATGTCGATGGGAGGATTCGGCGTTGTTAGCGTGGCGGCGCACCTGGTGGGGAACCAGATCAAGCAGATGATGGGCTATACGCTGGAGGGCGATGTGGAAGCGGCGGGTGCGGAACACCTGCGTCTGCTCGACATTTTCAAGGGCCTGTTCATTGTGTCCAACCCCATCCCGGTTAAATACGGGTTGAACCGATCGGGATTCAGGGTCGGTGAGCCCCGATTGCCGCTGGTGCCGCCGGACGAGAAAACCGCTGCCCAGTTGGATGCGTTGCTGGATCGCTACGATATAGATATACCGGTACCCACCGGCTAAACCGCCGTTCAGCGTTTACACACGCTTTCCGGATCGGCATGGCCACTGCCGACCGTTCTACGCTATCCCCATAACTGTTTTTTTCTAGCCGGTCGGCCCGCGCACTGGACGGATGATCAATTTGCCTTGGTATCACAAGGAGCATGATAATGTCCCTGAAAACAGTTGTATTTGTGGATGGACAAAACTTTCGTCACAACCTGAGAGATTTTCACTTCCGATCCGATCCGCCGCACCCTAACAATCCCGAGTACCGACTGGATGAAAAACACTTTCGCTGGCAGGAGTTTTTCCAGGACGCGCTGACAAAGTTCGATGATGTTACGGGGTGGGACCACCGGTTGGTGCGCGTGTATTGGTACTACGCCGAGAGCATAACCCCGTGGACGCCCAACCTGTGGCGCGCCCAGCGAATCGTGGAGGAATATGGGCCGCGCATGCCCGAGCTTACATCTGACATAGTGGTGGAGAAGGCGCACGACTGGTACGACCACGAGTTTCGGCGGTTCCACCAACTGCGGAAGTCGGTATTCGAGGAGATCCAGCAGAACACCAACTTCCTGGAGTTCAAGTATGTAGGGCAGTACGTGGTGCAACCCTTCCGTCCGTACCGGCTGGAGTACGACTACGACGGCAACATCATGTACCAGGGCACGCAGGTGGGTGAGAAGGGCGTTGACATCGGCATCGCCGTGGACATGATAGCCAAGATGAACAGCTTCGACGTGGCGATACTGGTGTCGGGCGACAGCGACTTTTTTCCGGTGGTTCGCTATCTGAAAGACAACCTGAAATACGTTTACCACTTCTCGGTTGGGCGCGGCGTAGGGCAGGACACCCAGTACTTCTCGCCGGCGCTGCGGGGGGTGGTGGACTGTTTCCAGGGTTTTGATGAGCTGGAGCTGTTGAGCAATTACGTCAACGACCACTCGGGGATTCCGCCGGCCATCCTGGACACCATTAACACCCGGGCGGCGGAGCTGGAACGGATCCTGGACGAGGAGCCGTTACTCTTCCATTCGGAAATCGAACCTCTGCTGAACTGACTGTTCCGGCAACCGCGTGCGACCCGATGGCCCGGGGGCGGCGGCTCGGGCGTCGCTGCTACGGCTGGCGGACGCGGAATGCGTCGGCGTACACGCCGCGGTAAGACTCGGGAAGCAACGCGGCGATGCGCTCCATGGCCATGTCGGTAACTGCATTCAGCAGATTCCTGGTGATGGGTCCCTCCACCACGGGCGGGGTGAAGGGCGTTCCGATTTTGACCTGCCAGCTGGCCAGGGGAATGGGCAGGTGCCAGGAGGAGAATTTTTCGGAGCCGGCGATGGCCACGGGCAGTATGGGAGCCTGAGTTTTCAACGCCAGCCAAGCGAGACCCGTGCGTCCTTTTTGCAGTCCGCCGGTGGTGCTGATGGAGCCTTCGGGGAACATGAGGATCGCCTTGTCCTGACCCAGCGCCCTCAATGCGTACCGCATCGCCTCGCCACCGCCCCGCTCGCGATCAAGGGGCACTGCTCCCACTGCGTTGCAGTAGAAACGGCTGAGTGGATTGTCCCACAGCTCTTTCTTGGCCAAAAAAGTGACCTGACGGGGGAGCGCCACCACCAGCGTGCCCGGGTCGTTGAGGGACAGGTGGTTGCAGGCGACCAGCAGGGGACCGTGGGGCGGCATGGCCTCCTTCCCGGTTATGGAGAGCCGGGCGGAAACCGACCAGAGGATTTGTCCGAAACGGCGACTGGGTTGGTATAGCCATGCCATAAGATTATCCCGTCTGCTTATGGTTAGTAACCGCGCTGCGGATTGCGTGGATTACCGCGGCAACGGATCGGTCAAAATCGATGCTATCGGTGTCGATTACGATTGCGCCACTGGGAACGACCAGGGGAGAGTCGGCACGCTGGCTATCCAGAAAGTCGCGGCGGCGGGTGTCGGCCAGCACCTGCTGAAAGTCCACCGACGGGTCGGCCTCCTGCAACTGGGCGAAACGGCGGCGGGCCCGCTCTTCGACGGAGGCGTCAATATAGAGCTTTACGTCGGCCTGAGGCAGGACCACCGAGCCGATGTCGCGACCGGCCATGATGATCCCTCCACCGTTGCCGATGGCGCGCTGCTGTTTTACCAGGGAGGTACGCACTCCGGTTATGGCTGCAACCGCCGCCACGTGACGGTCGACGTCGTCGGAAACCAGTTCATCCCGGAGGCGGTGGCCATCTATCGAAATGGCCGCATTGGTGGTTGGCGAACTGGGCGCGATCACCCCGTGGTCGGGCGATTGATCCGCAGTGTCGTCCAGCGACATGCGGTATTTATCGGCGAGCTCAGCGACGGCGGCGGTATCTGCGGCTGCGATGCCCCGGTGCAGGGCCAGCCAGGTTACGGCGCGGTACATAATGCCGGTATCGAGAAAGCGCAGGCGCAATGCCTTGGCAGCCGCCCGACCCACGGAACTTTTGCCCGACGCCACCGGCCCGTCGATGGCGACCGTCGGGCGCTGGCAATCCGGATGGCTCGTCGGGGTAGTCATGGCCGAAATTATAGCACCGGCCCATGTTGGCGTTGGAGAGAACGCGGCGGCAAATTGGGCGGCATTCGTGTCGTGCCATTGAAACTTGGCGGCAGGGG